GCAGAGCTTTCTTGTATGTGGTACTCCAGTCCGCCAATTCTAGCTGTTTCAGCTCTCTAAACTTTGGTCTTATCTCCTCAACTCACTGTCAGTGCCACACTTGGGTTTTTCCTTCCTGCACCAAGATTTGAAAAGTGCCTCCAGGCAGAAAGCTGCGTCAGTTGTAGGTTTTTTTCCCATTCTCCTGAGGATTACAGTCCTGTCTAATTTCTGAAAACATTTGTTTCATACATTTGCTTATTTTTCAGTTTTCTAGTTGTCAACAGTGGGTGGCTGGGGGCAAGTAGAGTTGCAGTTATTCCTCATAGCAGGAAATCTAATTTATTGAAAATGCCTTGACATTTTTATAAGCACTCTTAGACAGAAACAATGCTCTTGTTCATTAAAATTTTAATTGGACCAAATAAGTTATCCAAATCACTTCATGGAAAAACTAGAAAACTGCCTAAACCTAATTCCACCCACCTGAAAATGGGCCGATATCTCACATACTCAGTTTTGATTTCTTAGGTAAAATCTAAGACTGTCAGTCTTGCCAACAATGGATAATGTAATTGGACTGATTTTGCTGTCTAGCAGTGACATGGAACAGTGGTTATACCACGAATCAGAAAGTTTCAGGAGGAAAGCCAGACCTCAGAATGACTCCTGATCCCACCTGGATCCACTCCCTCAGGCTTCAGGGAACAAGGTAAGGGATGCCTGGTCACAGCTATATAACCTATATTATTGGGGTACTGTCTCCCCATCTTAGAAAGCCTCTTGTTGTCTGAAGATCTGACTAGAGCTTGGTACATTGTAAGCAGCCTAATCATCAAGCCCTGTACTAGTTCTGTTTATTACTTCTTGGCAGGGGAAACGGGTCTGTTGCACGTGGGAAACTCCAACATGCTTTTCTCGGGGGTTCCGCATTCCCATGGCCATTGTCACACACCTCAGAAGACAAATGAGACCCTGGCATATTTCCACGAGGTGCTATCTTTTTAAAAGACACATTAAGGAAACTCTTGAATTTTATCATTTCAAATACAAGGGCTCTGTGCACTACTATGTTTATTTTTTATGTTGATATTTTACCTTCTCCTTCTCTTGGAAAGAGATAGTAAATTCTCAGGAGTCCTACAAATGTAATGCTAAGTCCAGAACAACCCAATTTTTTATTTATGAGGAAGCAGAATAAAGAGATTGGGTCCAAGGAAAAAATTGTGGGGATGAAAATAGTTGGAGGTCTCCATTCTCTCTTTAGGCCAAGTCTTATCTGGCCTCCAGAGAACCTGTACTATCTCTTCCAGAAGCTTCTCTCTCTCTCCTCAACCGCCCACAGGGAGGGGCAGAAATGCAGTCACTTCTGTGGATATGGCATGACTTTGGTAAAATCCAAGTACTGTGGCATTCCGGGAAAAAGATGTTCATTATTTAGAAAAAGTGGGCTTTTTTCAAAATGACATCAGGAAAGGTAACAGGCAAATATAATCATCATTGGAGGAGAACATCTGTTAGGTACAAAGCCTTGAGAAAATCCTTTCTTGTTGTTGCTAGCTAATTACAGACCCAACTGTTACTTGGGAATGGGAATATCATGCTATAAAGGTTCTGTAGAGCTCTCATACCAATTGTAGCTAGCAGAGAACATATTAGATTTGCCACTGGGAATGAGGTGCATTGTTTGAAGTCAAGGCTTTAAGTCATTGGTAATAGTTGACTATCTCAACATTTCCAGGAGGTGTCTTCATGGACTAAGCATTCATATTACCTGAGAGCAGGAGTTTTTACCCTGGAATGTTCTAGAGCCACCAGTGCCTAGCCTCCAGTCCATGCCAGTGAAGTCAGACTCTGGCCGTGGTGCCTGAGCACTGGCATTTCTGTTAAGGGTTTCAGGTAATTCTAATGAGTAGCCAGGATTGAGAACCGCTCTTGGACTGATAACTCCTGTGAAACTGGAGAGCAGAAGATAACATGGACAAGCTTTTAGTGGTTCCCTTGATCTTCTGCTTAGGTTCCCTTTGTCCCTTTGAAATCTACCCAACCCAATGTGTCTGCAACAAATTTCTGTTCCTGAGAATAATCCATCAATTTTGAAAATGAAATGCTCAAATAGGATATGCTCTACAGTCTAGGATTTTCCAGTGATTTAATTATCTAATTACTGGAGCTGGCTGCCAAGCACAAATGGTTTTATTCCGTTTCACTATTTTATAACACAGTTCAAAGAACATTTGAATTTCTAATTCAATTTTTGTTCTTTTGAGACTAGTCTAGTGTTTCGTATATCTCTAATGATAGCTCCATTATTGGACTTATAACCACTGTGGGACTGCTGTTCATTTGTGGTATATAATACTACACATGTTGAAGGAGAATTGGTTCCGAGATAGCTTAATTATTCTAAACTGTTTTTGTCTTACGTAGACTCCCATGATTGAAAAGACAGAAGTTTGATGGGGAGGAAAGCTGAATGAGACCCAGGGAATACAAAGACAGAGTTAGAAACAGTAACAGCCAGGTTAGGAAACACCATACTTATTTTTCCCTGTGAGTCTGCGCTTTAGAACTGCCCAACCTCCCAGGCTCAAAAGCACATTTGCTCACTGTTTTTTATTCCCAGAAAGCCAGAAAAGTTGAGTAGTTCTGGAACAATAAAGAAACTTGTGTGGTTAACACAGCATTCCCAGACCTTGACCAAAGACCTTCTTTGTTTAAGAAAACTGCTCTTTTTCACAAAGCTGCACAGTTCAAGGGTTGTGAGGAGAGACAAGTGTGGGAGATCCGTCCCAGCCGGCCACAGCACCAAACTACACCCGCCACTGATGGGGTGATGCTGTAGCTACAGACATCAAGATAGCCTTGGTATCAAATTCACCTCTAACGCCTGTGAAATTCCCAGGGGAAGTGTGGCATTTATGCTAAAGCAATTCCATCCCTGTCCCCAAACCGACAAATGCTCACTTTTGAGAGCAGTTAGGTATTTCCATACAAATGATATATATGTTTTTCTTACAGGGGTGCAATGAGGAAGTAACAATTTCCAAACGGCCAGCAGATGGTGCCAAAAGGCAGGAGCAGTGAAAGGAGGGGCTTAACCTCCAGGAGCCCCAGGTAAGAAAGAACTTGGGAGCTGACGGGCCCCCTCTGAACTGCAATTGTGTCCTTTGGCCTGCAGAGTACTTAGTAATCGGCTTTTAATTACTTTCCAACATTTTAAAATGGTGGTAATTCATGTAAAACCTATGTCTTCAGATTCGCTTGAAATATTGAAATATCTAGAAACACTGGATACTAATTCTAAAGGTTAAGAGCCAGTTGGAACTGAGTGGCTACCAGCCTTTAAAGGGGCCAATTTACTGTGGTCTCTCCTCCGTTTCACTTGCAATTGCTGCCTGGACACTGAAGACATGTAACTTTGTCACCCCTGACACAACCCAGCCCAACCTGTACACTTCATTTCATTGCAATGTGTCTTTAAAATTGCAAAGCGAGGAGAAGCTAATGCAAAGGATGGGACCATCACAGATGATGCGATTCAATAGGGTATTTAAATGAATTTGCATCGGATGTCCAAGGTATCTGGGATGTTGCCTAAGAGACAGAGTAGCCTTTGGAGGTCTGAGCATTCGCTCTTTTAGCAACCCTCATGATCTATGCTGGGACCTCGGGGCAGGTCTCTCAAACCAGCTGCCTTTCAGTGTGTTTTCTGGTAGGCAGAGGGCAAGGAGAAATTGTTTTCTTAGCCTTCATTAGGTGGTTAAACAACATAGGGCTTGTGCCATCGCTGTGCTGAAGAAGAACTGTGATTGGAAGCCTTTTTCCTATTAGAGGAAAGGGCTCAGGAGGTTGCATCCCCATGGCTGCTCCAGGATCCTGGATACATTTATATATATATATATTTTTTGAGACATAGTCTCAGTCTACTGCCCAGGCTGGAGTGCAGTGGTGCTATCCTGGCTCACTGCAACCTCCGCCTCTCATGTTCAAGTGATTCTCGTGCCTCAACCTCCCCAGTAGCTGGGATTACAGGAACACACCACCAGGCCCTGCTAACTTTTGTATTTTTAGTAGAAATGGGGTTTCGCCATGTTGGCCAGGCTGGTCTCGAAGTCCTGACCTCAAGTGATCCACCCGCCTCGGCCTTCCAAAGTGCTGAGATTACAGGCATGAGCCACGACACCTGGCCGTATCTTCTCGCAACATTTGGATTATGAGCGTCTGGAAGTCAGGGAGGATGTCTGTATACAGCCTAGGCGAGCACTGTATCCTCAACACCTAACCTACCAGCCAGGGCAGGGAGGTGGGAAAAGGTGCACAGAGCAAATATGTGGTCTCATGCAGAGACGTACATCTCTACCTCCTTATTATCCAGGACCAGGAGACAGCTTATTCTGCTTTGGCAGATTTATGGGATTTGTTGACCAAGATTCGTGACCTGAAGGGTCACTTACTCTGATTCCCGTAGAGTTCATACATTTCTTAACGATAGAAAAGAGCAAGGAAAGGATGGATCACAATATGTGAATGAAATGCAGATGTTTTTCTTAACAAATCACCATGGTGGTTTTTTTTCCTTATGAATTCATCTTCTATTCTAAACTCATAGTTCTAAATACATCACAGATCCTTGCAAAAAAATGAAAAAAAAAAAAAAAAGCTTGGCTGACTATCCACCTTTGTGCCTGTTCAGTGTGGAGGAGGATGGAGCCTCCAGGCTGTCAGAAGGCAGCCTTCACTGGCTGTCGGCATGCTCCCTGGGGCCCCTCTCCTTTCAGCTCATCTCCAAAAGCAAATGCCCTAGAGTCTGTTCCTGCGTAACGCACACATAGCTTAAAGAAGTGGCTACAGATTGACTGTAGTTGCAATGGAAGGCTCTAGACCTGGATTGCGTGTGTGAGAGAGGAAGCCACGCTGTCACGGTTCTATATTTTCTAGGTCTCATGGAGCCCCTAGGAAAAGGAAGGTAGGAAGAGCTCAGGGCAACTGAGACAGAGGCCACCGTGCATGAGGGATACCTGGAGCTGCCGCATCTGCTGGAGCTGGAGCCTGAGTTCCGCCACGCTCCGCCTCATCTCCAGCAGGCTCATGTGGATGGCCGAGGTGCCTGCAGGTGGAGGCTGGCTGGGAGGCACTGTGGACTCCAGAGCACTGAGCGTCTTCCCACCAGACACATGGGGAGTTCCTGTGAGAAAAGTGCATCAGAGAACTCAGAAGGCCACCAAGGAAAGTCTAAGCTATGCATCCCATCCCAATGCAGATGACTGGTAGTTCTAAAAAGGCCCATTTCTCTCATTACAAAAAAAAATGCATATATATGAATCATGCAGTGTTATAGTATGCAGTGTGCAATAATCACATTCTAGAAGTTTAGTAAGGAAGTGCCATAGGAAGGCAGGCCACAGAGCTGTCTCTGCTCCCATCTATCTGTTGACTGATTGATCTATCAACTGATCAATCTTGTTTACGGTTTTTTTAAATTATTTAATTTTTTTTCTTTTCTTAACCTCTGGAAGAAGAGCCTGTTTAAACACACAGGTTTGCATAGAGAAAAGCTTAGAAGTGTATAAAATAAAGTGTTAATGGTATCTCCAGCTGTGGTATTCCAATATAAGGTGTTTTTTGTTGTTGTTGCTGCTGTTGTTGTTTTTACTATTTTTTATTTTTGAGAACAGGGTCTCACTGTATTGCCCAGGCAGGTCTCAAACTCCTGGGCTCACGCCATCCTCCTGCCTCTGCCTCCCCAAGAGCTAGGATTACAGGCATGAGCTACTGCACTCAGCCACTTTTTTGTATTTTTAAAATCTGCATACTGAATATCTGTAATTTTATAATAGAAAAAACTGATTTTAAAATTCCGAGACCTAATATAGAGTGCTTATGTGACTATTTCCTGGATGGCAAATGTAACCTAAGGACATGTAACTTATTTCTGGGCAGAGATTCGGCCAATCGCCAAGCGGAGACTAGTAAGAACTGGGTACCGTCCCGAATCCCTTCAGATTTCCAAAATCAAAAGAAGGAGGGCGTCTCCACACAACTCCTTTAGTAAGAAAATAAGGCAAGATGCAAAAGCCCTTCAGGAGAGGACTCTAACAGCGACAATGTGATTCTATGGAACAGGTACCTGGAGAAGAGACAGGATCCATGTTACTAATAAACACACACACACACACACACACACACACACACACACACACACACTTCGGCTCAGTTCCCTTTCTTTTAAAGGGTCAAGTGCAAGCAGGCCAGCTGGCCTTGCAGGACAGAGCACTGCGGCCACTTGCAGACCCTGGAGTGGCTATAGTGTGGTGGTAGCCGGTCTTCCCATCATGGCTCAGCCATTTCGGGAACCTTTCCCTCTCCAGCACACACAACTCAACGAGGCCTCAGTGGAGCTCAAAGTGGCTCATGAGCCAGGAAGCTCCCTGCAACTGTCCTCTTTCTTGCTTGGCCTTGGCGACACTGATGCTGCCGGAGCCCCATTCTCTTCATCCTTCAGTGACCATCCAAATAGGGCCAGTCTCCCAGCCCCTCTAATGGCCCTCTTGGGGAGGCAGCAGGGGAGCAGGCCAGAAGGCTTTTTAAAGGACTGACAATGCAGCTCCAGGAGACCTGACAACAAGCTTTTCGTTATCTTTTTTCTTTCTTTTTTTTTTTGACACAGAGTCTCGCTCTGTCTTGACCAGGCTGGAGTGCAGTGGCTGCGATGGAGTGCAGTGGTGTGATCTCAGCTCACTGCAGCCTCTGCCTCCTGGGTTCAAGCAATTCTCCTGTCTCAGCCTCCCAAGTAGCCGGGACTACAGGTGTGTACCAAGACAGCCAGCTAATTTTGTATTTTTAGTAGAGATGGGATTTCACCATGTTATCCAGGCTAGTCTTGAACTCCTGACCTCAGGTGATCCGTCTGCCTCAGCCTCCCAAAGTATAGGGATTACAGGCATGAGCCACCATGCCCAGCCAACAACCAAATTCCTTTATGGAATCTACACTCATTTTTAAAGTATCTTCATCTATAACCTCTTAATCCACTATATTTGGTTCATGTAATAGCTCCATCATTCCCTGAAATGGCTCTTTATGTTCATTTCAGCGATCTTCTAGTTGTCACCCTGTGGACTCTCTCCTAGGCTGACATGACTTTGCTTCAATGTGACACTGAGCTTTGTCAGCCACTTCTTTTCTTTTCAGTCACTTTGAAACTTTCCACCATCTTCTTCCCTTTCTGCTGCTCTGTCTTGGTCAAACTCTTTTCTAACTCCTTTCTCTGCCAACCTTTTAAGTCCTGATATGTTGTGTCGCTGGGTCCACTTCTCTTCTGGATGGACATGCTTTCTAGGGAGGTCACTTCTGCTACCACCACCTGCCAAGGTCTCCCGCACCCTCGTCTGCAGCACACAATTATCTTCAGATCCACATACCAATGCCTTCACGCCACTACTGAACTTTTCCATAAGTCAGTCAAATTCATTATTTCCACTCGTCTTCCCCAAACCTCTTTCTGTCTCTATGGGCCTAATTTTATTATATATATAATTTCAATAGCTTTTGAGGAACAAGTAGTTTTTGGATACATGGATGAATTGTGTAGTGGTGAAATCTGAGATTTTAGTGCACCCATCACCCGAGTAGCGTATCTTGTATCCAATTTATAGTTTTTTATCCCTCACCCCCTCCCATCCTGCCTGCTTCTGAGTCTTCAATGTCCATTATAATAAGGGCCTAACTTTAGCCAGTGGTACCACTATCTACTCAATTATCAGCCAGGCAGGCTGTCCCTTTTTTTTTTTTTTTTTTTTTTTTTGAGACAAGGTCTTGCTCTGTCACTCAGGCTGGAGTGCAGTGGCTTGATCTCGGCTCACTGCAGCCTTGACCTATTCAGGCTCAAGCAATCCTCCCACCTCAGCCTCCCAAGTATGTGGGACTATAAACGTGTACCACCATGCTAATTTTTTGTAGAGGCAGGGTCTTGCAATGTTGCCCAGGCTGGTCTCAAACTCCTGGTCTCAAGCAATCCTCCCACTTTAGCCTTCCAAGGTCCTGAGATTACAGGTATGAGGCACCATGCCTGACCTGGCTATCATTCTTACTAACTGTGTGGCTTTGGATAACTAACCTAACCTCCCTGAGCTTCTGTCTCCTTTCATGCAAAATATGGGTAATGACATCTTCCTTATAGGGTTTTGTGTGTTAAATGATCTAATGCGCAGTATAAAAATCTTTGAGATAGGAGATTCCATCTGTTCTCTCTCCACAGTAAACTACACATTCCTTAAGTAGCCAGGAAGTCTAGGTTTTCCTTTACTCTTGGCCAGATGAGTTCCTTGACTTCTATATAATTCCGTTTACTTGTCTACAGAACAGGGATAATACTTGTCTTGTAGCTTACTTCCTAGGATTCTGGAAGAATTATTCTATTTTGTGCACTATACAAGGCTGCTATGGCAACGAAGCCCCTGTGGACGATATCTCACCCTGATACGTTAGAGTGAGAAAGTCCAAACCTAGCAGAGACGTGGGGAGTGAGCCCACGTGCACATCGCCAGTGGCATTGCAAATCAGCTCGGCCATTCAGAAGAGAAAACTAGCAGCATGTCACCATTGCCACTGAACTGTCCCTTTGGATTCACTGATTCCACTTTGGGAAATATATCTGAGGAAATGGCACTGGCTCCTCTCCCCACATTTGAAAAGAAATTGACAAGAGGTTTTAGAACAAAGAAATGAAACCACCTATAGATCTTTAAAGGGACTGAGGAATCTAAACATAAAAGGAGTTAAAATGACAGGCATATGATGATGTGTGTCACGTGTGTGGATATGTGTTCAGTTTTCTTCTCTGGAACATGAGAATAAAAATTGTATCTCTCCCTGGGTGCTGTGGTAAGGAGTTCATGAGTGAATGCATGAAGAGCACATAGGAAGCACTCACTACGTATTTATGATTATTATTATTCTCTAAAAAGCAAAAAGAAATAAAAGGATCATACAAAACAGCACGTAGATTCTGATTAGAGCAGTGCTTTCAGATATGAGTCATTTCTAGAATGGACTACAGAAGGATGGGAGCTTTTAATATTTAGTAGTTTCCTTTCTTCTCCCTAAGTTTGCAATACATTTTAAAAAATGAATAAATTAAGTATCTCCGAAACAAACTGGCAATTGCTCTGAAGACAAGTTTAGCAATTTCCGTGAAATAATTCTCTGGCTTCGGCCAAGGCCACGGATTGTTTTCTACGCAACACAACAAATCCCATCAGGATCAGGAACGCTGGCAGAGTGAACCTGTTGGCCTTGTAGCTAAATGATGCTCAGCCAGAGGAGAACCACGACCAACAGAGTCCTAAACTGAAGTTTCAAATCTGTCTACTCTACCGTGCTGCACAAAACTAGTACACGTGGCTTCCCTAAATTTGGGGTTTCACCCAACTTGCCATATGCTTTCTGTGTAATTTAGTATCTGAATGTGTTCCTGCTAAGGATTTCTATTTCTAACCCGATGAGAGGGAAGACCTCATCTTCTTGCAGAGGCCTGGCTTGAGATTGCTGGATGAGACATTCATTGCAAAGACCTGGATACTAGTGAACGCCACTACTAACAGAACTGGGCTCTCTTTCTGGGGAATGCTGGCATTTAAAAAGCAGGCCCTGTCATCTGTCATGAGATTAAAAAGATAAAAAGCAGGCCCTAGGCCAAATACTCCTTTTTCTCCCATCTGGACACTGGTCATTCCTTATTGGCTACTGTCCCTTCTCATCCATCCCCATATTGCAGCTGGGCTGATGTCTTTTCCCAGTGTACAACCTTCCAATGGCTTCACGTTACACTTAGAACAATTTTAAATTCCCTTGACTGGACAACCCTTCTTCCCCCTAAGTCCTCTTCATCCTTCCGGGCTTAGTTTGTGTCACTTCATCCTTCCAGGCTTATTTTGTGTCACTTCCTCCGGGGACTGCCCTTGGTATAGGCTAGTCCGATTGGTGAAGCATTTATCCTGCACTTTTAAACACTCGACACACATAAAATTACGTGTCCCATTTCCATCTTCCCCATTGAATTCTAAGTTCTAGGCAGGCAGCCCCATGTCTGCGAGATGCCCACCGTATGGCCCTATCAATGAACAAATGAGTGAATGCATGAAAACCAAAGGGAAAAGACGGTGCTTTGCCCCCTGAATTAATGAATAAATCTGGAATTTCAGTATTAGCAGGAATATCTAGGAATCCTCTGACATCGTACGAAATAAGTGACTTACGGAAATGTCAAACATTTCTGAGACAAGTCAGGACTCATCCCAGGCAGCCCACAGGCCTCCTACAACTCCAAAAACACTCACTTACCTGCACTGTCTGTGTGGTTCCTGTTGGCTGTGGTTTTCATCATTTTCTCGCTGAATAAAAGAAAAAAAGAGTCAGCTATGCAGTTTCCAAAATGCCTTTTTTTTTTTTTTTAAGCCCATTCCATTCACTATTTGAAGCAATTGGCAGTGATGGGATTAAGCAATGAAGGTATTTTAGCATCAGCATCACAATTGGCCAGGATGGAAAAGGCTTCCCGGGTGTGCACCTGACACTGGGGGTGGAATGCAGCCAGGCTCACTTGTGACTTTCAGATGATGGCGACGTGGACACGCAAGGGTGGTGGTTGCAGGCACTGCATGGTGAGTGGTCCATGAAGCCACATGCACTGGGAAGCCCATTTACCTTCTTGGGCCAAAGTGTTACCTTCGACCAAGAATTACCAGAAGGAGGAAAAAAAAAAAAAAAACCAAACCCCAAAAAACAAACAAACAAAAACGCCCATGATCCATAGAGATGTGAATATTTTCAGCCTTGAAATGATTACAAGGAAACAGATTTGAATGAATGAATTATCTTAATGATTAAAAGAGAAACAGATTGAATTATTGTTTTTCATTGGCTTTCTTCTTTTTTACCTAGATGCATCTTTGCTATAACTTGTAATAGGCCCTTTAAAAAGTGCAGACTGAACGAGGCCAGTTAAACTGGCAATCTGTTTCTCCATGGCTTGCATCCTCTCTCTGTAAAACAAGAGAATTGTTTGTTAAAGCTCTATTGACTTTCAGACCGGTTTGTCCAGGTGGATGCACCACCCAATGGTTATAAAAGGTACCACCTAGAAGGCCGTGGAAGTTCACCCAACCTGGCTCAGGAACGTGAAGAGCCGCACATCCCCAGCTGAGGTCAAGATTCGTGATCAGTGTTCAGTATCAAGTCAGTGACCTGACTGGCTAAAAAAAAGACATAGCACGGACCAACAGGGGCCTCCTGGAAAAATGAAAAACTTCTCCCTTGGAAACAACCCTGTTTGCACATCCTGTGTTTTTTGAGTCTTTCTGCCCTGCTTTCTTTCTTTCGCCTTGCACAAAAGGGCTGTTTCCTAGCATGGCAGTGTCCCAGGCCAGATCTCACTGAGCTGCACACATTTCTATGCTGTACACCTCAGCTGGGAGGCTGCTGAGTGGTTTTGGTATAAATGATGGAGATGTTTGCTGTGTGGGTAGTAACACTTGTGTCATAGCTTAAGGGCAACACAAACATGTCTTTCTTTCTTTTTTTTTTTTGAGATGGAGTCTTGCTCTGTTGCCCAGGCTGGAGTGCAGTGGTGCCAAATCTGCTCACTGCAAGCTCCGCCTCCCGGGTTCATGCCATTCTCCTGCCTCAGCCTCCCAAGTAGCTGGGACTATAGGTGCTCGCCACCACTCTTGGCTAATTTTTTGTATTTTTAGTAGAGACGGGGTTTCACCTTGTTAGCTAGGATGGTCTTGATCTCCTGACCTTGTGATCTGCCTGCCTTGGCCTCCCAAGGTGCTGGGATTACAGGCGTGAGCCACCGTGCCCTGCCATGTCTCTTCTTTAGATAGTGGAGAAATATGACTGAAACCTGTCCGGGCACGGTGGCTTAGGCCTGTAACCCCAGCACTTTGGGAGGCTGAGGTGGGCGGATCACCTGAGGTCAGGAGTTTGAGACCAGCTTGGCCAACATTGTGAAACCCTATCTCTACTACCAAGATCGCACTACTGAACTACAGACAGGGCAAAAGAGCAAGACTCTGTCTCAAAAACAAAAAACAACAACAACAACAAAAAACCCAAGTATTTGAAAGTAGATGATGTTGGATCTAATGTCATCGGAACTTTAGCCTGGAGGCTTTTACAGAATCGTGCAGGAAAACGAGTATCCCTAACAGCTTGGCCATCTCAAGACGTTAATGAAAAATTTCCCAATGATTTCCATACACAGATAATGCTCCCTTCTCTCCAGGGCTCTTTGATGCTTCATTACAGTTTAACTGGCATTTGAAATAGGCTCACATTTCTAGACCTCAGACAACGGACGTTTTGCAGAACTATTGCCATTGTTTTCAACACATCGTTAAAAACAACAATACAAGTAAGTGAATAGAGGCTTCACATGTCACCTCATGTGAATTCAGTTATGCATACTTCGTAGTCCAAAACAGGAAAAGGAGAGAGAAGAACAATGTATATGGCATGGCATTGCCTGTGCTGTTATCTCTCATGAGTGACTGTCCTTGCACGAGCCTGAGAAAAGAGAAGGGACCTCACTCCTCACTGCGGATCTCAGTCCCACAGACCCCTGGGTTTGTGAGTGATGGGATTCCTGTTCTGCAAACAGTATATTCTTACACTATTAAATACAAGCTGGTTAATTTATCTGATTCTCAGTGGAAAAAGTAATGGTGGTCTGGCCAGGCATGGTGGTTCATGCCTGTAATCCCAGGACTTTGGGAGGCCCAGGTGGGTGGATCACCTGAGGTCAGAACTTCGAGACCAGCCTGACCAACATGGTGAAACCCCATCTCTACTAAAAATAGAAAAATTAGCTGGGTGTGGTTGTGTGTGCCTGTAATCCCAGCTACTCAGGAGGCTGAGGCAGGAGAATCACCGGAACCTGGGAGGTGGAGGCTACAGTGAGCCAAGATTGCGCCACTGTACTCCATCCTGGGTGACAGTGCAAGACTCTGTCTCAAAAAAAAAAAAAAGAGTAATGATGGCCTGTTCCTTCACAGAAAAAGTCAGCTGATTAAGTTGGGCTCTTTTTGAGAGGTGGTGCATCTGCATCCTGAACTTTATGACAATCAAGATGATATTCAAGGGTAATTTTGTCCAACTCAAGCATTGCAGCCTTGAGTTTTGCCTTTGGAATGTAACTCTCAGTGCCATGTGTAACACTGATCTTAATTTTGTAACTGTAAACCTCTGATATCAGAACTCCACACATTTTCTTTAGTTTAAAATTGATGGTCTGTCACAATACTGAGTTTCTTATATGTAAGTCACGCAGTCTGGATAGTTAAAGGTTGCAAATCCACCAAGGAGGGAAAAAAACACCAAGTAATTTTAAGTATTAATAGTATGATCTCTCTGCTGTAATAGAGTGGAAAGAAGAAATCTCAAATGGTGAGCGCAGAAATGTATCTCCCCGGAGTGATTTGCAAATGTTTCCAGGTACACCAGTTGATGCTAAACCTCCCAGCCATACAGGATTTCAGTCATACCTTGGCGCCCTCTTTGCCATAAAATAGTCCACATTATCAAAGGGAAAAAATGGTTAGAAATTCAAATAAGGAAAGCCAGTTAGTGAATATCCATCGGCAAGGTCAAGCTTATTGACCCAAGTCACAGTGGCATCTCAGAAAAAATGGGAGTGGTGGTTGGTCACTCTTCCTGCCACATGGGAGACACAGACTTGCACAAACTCTTGGGAAATGAATGACTTCCTCAGGAGAATGCTCAGTCCCAGGTGAAAGTTGCCCAGAGTCCTCATTCGTCCCACAGGGACTCTATCCACAGTGGCGCTGGAGTACAATGAATGACACTAAGAGCAGAGGTGCACTCAGGGCTACCTTGAGATGTACTAGTTTACTGCTCTTCTTCAATCCTAGGCAAATGCAAAGGATATTACTTTAAGAAAAAAAAGGTAACATGGCATTTTTAGAGTCTAGAGAGCTTTGGTAAGGAAGTGGCTTAAAGGGTTCTGTACAGCTGGAGTGTGGGATAGAAAGGCATGATGACAACCTTAGTACATGCAGAAGACAGTAATATTAAGAAATGCAAGAAATAGGTAGGTCTCATTTATGTAGAGACTAAATAAGACTCTGCTAAGAGGGAAATGGCAGTGGGGAGTCCTGGGATTCCATTGCTGGCCACGAGAACAATGCTGGTTAGCGCTAGACCAGCCTTCTTTCTGCTTCCAGTCTGGTCAACAGGTTTCATTACATTGTCCAACAAAGGAGAGCATCAGCATTAAAAATTGAAACAGGCCAGGTGCAGTGGCTCATATCTGTAATCCCAGTACTTTGGGAGGTCAAGGTGGGTGGATCACTTGAGGTCAGAAGTTCAAGACCAGCCTGGCCAACATAGTGAAATCCCGTCTCTCCTAAAAATACAAAAATTAGCTGGGTGTGGTGGCGCATGCCTGTAATCCCAGCTACTCGGGAGGCTGAGGCAGGAGAATCACTTGACCCCAGGAAGCAGAAGTTGCAGTGAGCAGATTGCACCACTGCACTCCAGCTTGGGCAACAGAGCGAGACTGTGTCAGAAAAGAAAGAAAGAAAGGAAGGAAGGAAGGAAGGAAGGAAGGAAGGAAGGAAGGAAGGAAAGAAGGAAAGAAAGAAAGCACTTGAATCATTCTGGATAAAGAACATTGGTCTTCTACTGATTCATCCTTGAGTTGAGAACTGTAGAATGTCACAACACAGACCATGTCATCTGCACATGGAAGTCCGTGGGGCTGCAGACACACCTTCAGCATGCTCCTTGGCTCAGTGAGTACTCAGTTTCTACCCTGGGCTTCCACCAGATAATAGTTTTAGGGTGCAGAGAGAGACAACTCCCAAACAACATCCTATTCTTCTTTAGGGCTAATATTGACAGAGTTGCAGAACTGCCTGGCATAAGAGCTTGGGTGTTTTTAGAACAAAAGGGCTATACCCACTCCAGGTACCCACATGCTTGGCTTGCCTTTTTGTATCTGTGAGGAAGGGAGTGAAGGCTCCCTGGGTGGCCTCTTTCAGGATATGTCACCTGCAAGGTCACCAGGAAAGAGACATGCTGCATCAGAGATTCTGAGTCAGGTGGCTTCTCATCTGACATCCCCCCTGGAGAGTTCAGATGCTTGACAGTAGAGGGGAAGTCATCCTCTTCCTGGTGGGAGCAGGCAGTACACACAGCACCGAATACATGTGTATGCTCTACTGTCTTGGCCAAAGCCACTTCACAAAAATACAATTCTTTTGACACACGGTAATGAGAAAACATTTTCCCTCCTATTTAATCATCAAATTGTGTCTGCTTTCAGGATTCATTTTGGGGACATTATCTGATTTATACATTCATAAATAAGATTGCCTTTCCATTTTATGGTTGGTAATGTGGAAACAATTTTATGGTTTAAGTAAATGACAGCAGTGGAAACTTATGCAGCCTTCTCCCAGGATGAAATTGTAGGAAGTGTGTTTTAAAGTTGAAAGGGAAGAAAGCAAAGTGCCACGGAAGAAGAGAAATGAACACAACCCTGTCATTTTATTGCAGGGGCAATTTTGCATGCTCATCATCAGAATATTAAAGACATTTAGGCTCATTCTTGCCAATATCACTTGGTTTAAAACATGACAGGACTGATACAATTACTGTTGAAAAGATGGCTTAAAAATGATTTCATAAACCATTTTATATCATTCCACAAACCATATTTATGTGATTAGTGTATATGGTTAACTAGTCATTTAATGTCTTAAGTCAGCTTGGCTGAATGAGTCTTCTCATGATCCAAACATAATATTAATAAAAAACTCAAGTCACATTCAGGGAAGTGCTGTTTCCAGTGTTAAAACGATTACTCCAAGCAACTTTCCTGCAAGCTCCATGTCTGTCTGTGAAGAGGACGCAAAATTCATACTGTTGGTGGTCTGTTCTGTCTTTGCAACACAGAAAAGAAAAAAAAAAAATCTGTGTTTAGGGGATGATTTTTAACCAGTGACTCCATTTACAGAAC